TCTTTGGTATGAAATATGTATTACATGCAATGTGTGGGTTGGGGCGTTACAGGCTGAGAATTAGAGATGGAGATAGGGATGCTTGCCTTGAATACCTTTTCTCCTCGTCTGTGATAACCGGGKTTATGGTTATTAAAGTTTGGAGTATTTTGAAAGTAGTTCGAAAGTTGAAGGTTGTGTTATGAAATTTTATTTAAAATATCATTTTTATCCACCGTCTCTTAATTAAATATACACATGTTATCAGATATTTGTCGGTACTTGGGGGTTATTGAAAAAAAAAAAAAAACAAATAGTTGGTGTGTGTACTCTGGCTATTGTGTTCGAAGCAAACAGAAAGCCGAATAAGGAAAAAGAAATTGGTTATATGATTCTTAGTTGAATTTGTTGTTGTTTTATATTTGCATCTCTTTGTGATTCACAAAATGAGTTTTATTTTAAAAGTATCATCTAATATGTTTTTGGTGAAGAAACCGTAAGGTTTCATACATGAGTATTTGATGATTATATGCTATTTATTAGCATAAATTTTAGGTTGTGTTATGATATTATCATCTTATTGTAATAAGGGCAACATAATCAGGAGTTGTGTATTATTTGGTAATAAGGGTGACATAATCAAGAGTTGTGTATATCTTTGTAATAAGATGATATAATCAGGAGCTAGTTATACTGGAATAAGGGTGACATAATCAAACTTTGGAATTGATCTTCAATCATGGGATTATGTTATCGTATCAATGTGATGCGATGAGTGTGATCTTTATCGAATCAGTGTGATGCGATGATCATCCCCATAATGCGACAAACGAAAGTTATCGCATATACTTGATGTGATGAGTTGTGATTATCACATCTATATGGTGTGATAAGTGTGTTTATTGATGCGACAAGATTGACTTATTGCATCAATGAGATGCGAGGAAATATTATCGCATCCTTGAGGTGCTACAAAGGAGTTATCACATGTGTATGATGCAACAGATTTGTTATCGCATCAATGTGACGCGCTAAGTTTGTGTATTACATATGGGATGCGACAACTTGATTATTTGTTTACTTAATGCAATAAGTTTGAGACTTTAATGGGTCATGATGCAATAAGATAAAGTTGTCTCATCTATATGATACAACAAAGAGATTTCTTTTGATAAAACATTGTTTATTTGTTATTAGTACAAATACGAGCTTTATAAAAGTGTTTTTTTTTTTTGCTAATTTTCACCCCGTAATAACAATCAAAAGAGATTTCTCACTAGACCTTCTGGTCTAACACTCATTTTGTGTTTTAAAATGTGGGTTACATGTCGTGCATATTTGGAGGATAAGGGAAGAGAAAAATGCGAATAAAATTATGATTGTTTTACATATGTGGATTTTTGGAAGCTGTACTTGATTTGTATGCAAGTATTCTACTTGATAAAAATGAAAATTTTGTAATGTAGCAATTTATACATTTTTCACGTTATATGAAATACGTGGGTGATATTCAAAACTTTATCTTTCCTTGAAGACGTATTCTTATACGTTTTATATTTTAAATTACTTAAACTTATAAGAATCATTGTGTAGGCATTATTTTGTCCTTGAAATCCAAAATTTCCTTAGTTGCATGATTGTGTTTTAATGACCCAAATATTCTTTATAGATCATAATCATATATTTGAAGAAGAAAATTGATGAAATTACCCAAAAATTGAAAATTGCCATCCAAGAAAAATGAAACCATCACTTTCCATAATCACAATGTCCCCATGCTTTTACTTTTTTTTTTTTTTTTTGAATTTAATTCTAAACAACCCCTTTAGACAATTATATTTTTATGTATCATAGGATAAAAAAAACAATTTAGATACTTTCAAAATTATATATACAAAAATATTTATATAGGGTTTTAATTAAATGAGAACTCGATAGTTTGTGATAATTATGAGATATAGTTTCAGTCAATCAATTATTTGTATTAATTTCTTTATTTAAATAATAGTTAAAAGGTGTATTAATAATTTACCTAATTAAAATTTGGAATTAATTTTTTTTTTCAATAATTATTTGTTAATGATGCAGTTATCATA